GAAATTATCTTCAGTCCAGCATGGCAAACTTTAAACAATAATAATGTTAAACTACCACAGTATAAGCCATCAGCATCAATCAGTGATATTTATTTCAGGATAGAAATTAAACACTTCAAAAAATATGAACTTTTACTACTATATTTAGTTTATAGCAGTGTCACAATATATTTTCTACTTTCTCTTCTTTCACAGATCTACTTGACATTTAGAAGCACAAAAAAGCCCAATTCCTTCAACAGCTCCAGTTCTCAGCTAATCTCAGACACTTCATTTACTACTTTTCCATACTATCTACTTACTTTTTGAATCTTTCACAATTTTAAATGTTCTGCAAATATATGCCTGCTTTTCAAAAGGAAAAGTTTTCTTGATCCTTTCAGTACATTTCATATTTAATATTTCTTTTTTTTTCCCCCCCCGCTTAATCAAGTGCAAGAAGAAATTGGCCCTTTTTTCCTCCCTAACTGGTTTTTATGTAATAGGACTTTTTAGGTTGATCTTTGCCAAATGTATGTAAAAGTGTTTTCTGAATAGCAGGCGACCCTCTTATTTCAGCTAGCCCTTTCTCTCTTACCCTGAACATTTACCCCTGAAACTGGAAATAGCCCATCTTCTTGGAGAATCTGTGTAGCTGAATAAGTATGACAGTTTTTTTCTCTTATAGCACCATTCCTCTATACTACTTGTAATTTTATAAAGAATATAGCATAATGCTCTCACGAGAGAAGTTCCCAATATACCTGTCCTCTAAAACATTTGTACTTTTTTTGGGCTCCTATTTTTCTGCCTGCTTTTGGGAACATCACATAATACGTGGGTCTGCTCTCACCTAAGTTCAGCTCTCACTACCAGTTTCCCTCCCAGATTTCTAACCCTTCCTCACCATCACCCCTCACTTCCTCCCGTACCCATCCCCCAGCCTGTCGGGCAAGACCTAACACTTGAGACAGCTTCTGTCTCAGTGAGAATACCAATATGGGTCTCCCAATCCAGACATGCTTTCCAACAATCTCATAGCTACTTCACATAATCTGGCCACCACGCCTCAGCATATGTGGTTTGCATTACCCAAGGTGTACAACAAATTAACAGAGATGGGCAGACACACAATATAGTCACGCTACTCCTCCCTTGGAAGAGTGGTAGGCAATTTTTTTAAACATTAATGCTCAAGTGCAAGGATACATTCAGAATACTTAATAACAACCTTCCCTTGAGCAAGGAAGTTAAAATAGTGTACCTGACCATACTTCTCAAAGACTATAAAGATCAGCCAAAGCAGCATGATTTTCCTTTCTCCTGTCATTCGAAAGTAATCTCAGTTGAATCCTTCTTTAGGAGTACCTGCAGTTTTACTTTTTCCTTCTTTCACTTTTTTAGTGTCTAACTTATCTCCCTGTCTGGATCAAGTCTTTATGCACTACTATTTTGACTGCAGCTTTCCTGAAATTCCCATCTGCATTTACGTCCTGCAGTCTTATCCAGGCCCCAGCTATAATTTCTCTAGGCTACACAGGCTGTCATAGCTGTCTTCCTACACAGTCACAAAGACGTAAAAACATTATTCCCTAAACATTTCCACCTCTACTTCTTTCACTCACAGCACAAATTGAAACTTCTCATTTTTTGGAAAACCTTTCTATGGGTTTAGCTCAGATTGGGCTTTATGAACACATACATCACAATTTTCATCCATACTTTTCCAGAAAACTAGCATTAGTTTCATCTTTCTTGCTGTATCATTAAAAGAACAAGCTTTCTTTTCTGGTTCTACCATCCTGAAAAAGTTTTCAGTACCTGGGACATGTAATATTAGACAGACTTTCATTTATCATTTTTCTACCTTTAAATGGGAAAATATAACAATCATAAACAAAGCATACTAGACGTCTGCATTACCAGCATTCAGGAATAGCTTTATTTCATAGCAAGAAGAACGTGAAAGGCACCCTTCTTCTGTCACTTGTACAGTAAACTGGAAATTCTGCAGCAATTTGATAAGAGCTTAACTACAAAGTCTTTCAATTAAACATGAAATGAATAACACAAGCAAAACAATAGTTTCTGCAGCATTTGCTTAGAATTTGCACTTCCTTTGTTTTAAAATGCCTTCCGTTTTGCAATGTGCTATACATACGACATTCAACACAATATTTGATATAAGGACAAAAGTATTTTTATGGCTGAACAAGAGAAGCAGTGATTTTTGCCAGTCAGGACCAAGGAAGCAGTTTGGGATTGTGGGGCATGCTGTAATAGCAGAATATTGGATACAGACATCTAAGTCGTGTCTAGGATGTTAGCATACCACTACTGCGAACCATAAAGCTCAGGGTCCAAAGAAAAAGTCTAAAGGCTTCTTAAAGGCTGCTACAACTATCCTTATACGGGCACTTCTTTCCTTCAAGCCAGTGGACAAGCTACACTGATCTTGTCTCAACCGGATCAGCTCTGAAACAGAGGTAAAATGGCACCATTAAGGGAGAAACTATTTTTATCATTTACAGTACAGTGGTATAGAAACTGGACATTACCACAGGATACAATTTTGAGATCCATTTACATTGATTCTAATTTCCTTTGCAAATGCTATTTTTAACAAGAGTTAACTTCACTATTTCACAGCATATTCATATTCTAGAACAAAACTGCATGGTAACAGCAACAGTCTAACATGTTGGGGGAAAAAAAGAAAAAAAAAAAGAAAAGAGAGAGAGAGAACACAATGGAAATTGTTCCCTGGTACTTTTTTAATGAGTTCTTGTATTAAGTTACTTTCCACAAGTGTCTCAAATCAAGTAAGGAAAGACAAACCACCAATAACAAGAAAACCTCCACAGGTCTGTTGGGAATCAACAACCTGCCTAAGCAATTCAAAATATGAAATATCCATAAAACTAATAATCAGCCCCACTCAGTGCTTAAGAAGAATTTCTGTAACTAATTCCATAGTAAGTTTTGCAGACCTTTCCAAACATGCATTCATACACCATTAATAATACTTTATTCACATGTACTCATCTTTATCTGGATGAAGAAGTGAGCACTACGGTAACCAGCTGTCACTGAGAACTGTATGAATCCTCATGAAACTAGGTAATTCGAAAAGGAGACCCCAATGAACTTCTATGAGAAATTCACCAACCCCAATGCAAACTTAAGGTAGGTATTTGTGGTGTCTGCAGAACCACAATGAAAAATCTTAAGCTTTACTCGGAAACAGAGCAGAAAAATACATTATCAAAGCTGCTTTAATTAAAAAAAAAAAACTCAACACATATGCTCAACTTCAAGCATTTGCTAAAGATCTAATGAAGGTATATGATCTGAAATACTTGATTTAAAATGTTCACTAAGAACTAGGGCTCCAATCATTGGGTTCAAACACGCTTTTTCTTGAATTTCACATAGTGCTAAAGTAATATGGATATTTCTACATCAACGCCCAAACACATGTATACCTCTGGATATTTCCGAGAATATAGCAAAAACTATGCTTTCTGAAAAAACTCATAAAGAAATAATAATCTATAAAGTTTAAAAATACATATGACCAAAGGTATGGATTAAATGCTTGTTATTAACTCTAAGAAATAAAGAAAATTGTTTTCAGAAAAAGAGAGTCTACTGCTGGCACTGATGGCAGAAATTTCAAGTGTGAACTCCCTGTCAAACAATTACATCATTATTTATATTGGCAAATCTAGTCATTTTTATAAATACTTAAAACTGGCATAAAATTATTTTTTCACAGAATCACAGAATCGTTTAGGTTGGAAGGGACCTCTGGAGATCATCTAGTCCAACCCCCCTGCTCAAGTAGGGTCACCTAGAGCATAT